TGGATATTTTTTGTACAATTTCATTAGCTGAAAGAGCTTGAATCTTCCAAAAAGCATAATTTATGCATTTAGAGTTTTCCTTGAGAATGTTAGCTGGTGGTTTATAAAGCAGTCATTGAGGGGGAGGAAAGCTGCTTGCTGCAATCAGGCGTTGGCCTGAAAATGTTCCACATGCAGTTCAATCCCTTCCAGACAGGATGATGACTCACTTCTACCACTGCTGCCCGTTCTGGACCATTTTTACTTCATTACAGGCACAGCACACAAAGACATGGGCCGGGTCAAAGCCCACAACCAAACATGAATGTCTATCGTTTGTTTAATGGTTCATAATCATCATCAGATTACAGGCTTGAACAAGATGCCACAAATACATCTGGCCGCTCACATCATGCCATCAAGCTCTCTTACCTTTAGTTTTGATAGCAGTCTCGATTCTAGCAGCATCCTTATCTGGATCAAAGTTCGGCTCTGGCACCACAGTAGGGTATGTGGGCTCCCCCTATAGAGAGGAACAATGTGATCATTCCATAAATAGATGGTGCACACTTAAATCTATAATCCATCCATCAAAAAGTTTTTATGAAAACTTACTCCACCCAGTTGCAGAGTGAGCTGCCCTAAGAACTCGGAGACCATCGCCATCCTGGACTTCCTGTGGAGAGCAGCCACACCTATTCATTTCCATTGTATTTTGCTTTATGTGTCTGATATCGATCATGCTGTAAATTGAACAACCATCTGATTTACATCGGTTTTCTGCAACCTAAAGTGCACTGAGGGCAGTCTCAGCTTTCAGAGAAGACTCCCGTCACATGCTTCACAGAGTTATGTAATGCAGAACTGCAGAGGGCATGTCAGTTCACAGAGAACAGCACTCCACTGCCCCATCTTGTGTTGAGAAAAACTTAGTCACCTCATCCTGCCATAGTGAGTCTTCAAACAAAGCCAATGCAAAAACAACTTCTTTTGTCATCGGTCAAGGAAATAAGACTGTGAGACGGAATCGATAATTAAAGAAAAGTCATTTCTGGTCAGTTTACTACTACTTTACTGTACACTGCTAATTAAATCATTCACTTTCAATTCTATAATGAATGCAAAAACACCCAAATGCTTGTAAATCATGCTAGTTTTTTCCCTCTAATATGCTGAATTTGGCAAAAATTCAAGACGTTACGCATGATATGCTGCAGTTGCTAGGTAATTAGATGAAAACAGGACCAGTAAACAGCAATTTTAAAACCCAGCATCAGGTAAAACCTAAGCAAACAGGCACACCCATGAGAGGGCATGCTGGGAAAATTCCTTAGAGCATGTGAGACAGCTCAGTCATTTCTCACAATCTTGTGGTTAAAGTTTTAAAGAGTTTCAAAACAACCTTTCTTGGGAAATCGATACAAATTGATTTGCATTCAAAATTGCTAATGTTAAAAGAAAAGAAGTGTAGCAATGTATTGTATTAATACCATATGAAGTTAAAAGTGAACCATTATTTTCTTCATAAATGTTGATTTATTAAAAAAAATAAAAAGTGCCTTAATACAGAAGTTTAACAGCTGAAGGAAAAGGGTTTGAACTTACCTTTAGTGATCAGTAGATCTCAGATGCTGTGCAGAACAATCCCAGCTGTGGACTGTGTGACGGGTGTGGATGTTAAATAGCAGAGGCGGTCCCACGAGTCTCTTCTCTCTGCCCACTGAGCTCCACCCCGCCAGGACACGCCCACTCACTGTCCACCTCACAGTCTGAAGGGGCAGAACTTCACTATGGGCGTTTCTAAACTTCACAGTATGAAATGAAGTAGGAAACCATGGCTGTGGTTTCAGAAGGGAAATTATGTGGTAGTGAACCATTTGTTAAGTGGTGACTTCAAACTAATCTTAGAGTCTTAAAGCGATCGATCACTCAAAAAAAAAAAAAAAAAATTCACAAAATGAACATTCTGTCATCATTTACTAACCATCATGTCATTTCAAACCTGTATGACTTTCTTTTTCATCAGTGGAGCCAGAGTTGTTATTGCCAATTAAGACTAAAACTATTAAAAACGGTTTTCAGTAACTGAAATTAATTAAATAGAAATATTAGAAGAATAACTTAAAATGAAAAACAATTACAAAATTTCCCTTTGCAACTAACTAAAAAGCACTAAAATTAAACGGAATTACTATTAAATTGAAGCACTACAATTACTAAACCTAAAACTGAAATAAAAATAAATGAGCTAAATATAAATATTTAAAAACTGACTAAAAAACAATGACTAAAACTTAATCTAAAAAATAAAATGAAAACTGATTTTTTTTTTTTTTTAAATAAAAGCCCTTTGCAACAATCTGAAATAAGTTGAAATGAAGGTACTAAAATGACCAAACCTAAAACTGAAATAAAAATGAGCTAAACAGAAATATTAAAAAACTAAAACTTCAAACTAAAAATGAAACAAAAAAAAATTGTAAAAATAAAACTATTGATAATATTGATAAATTCTGTATTATAATACTAAAATAAGACGCTTATACTAATACTAAAATAAGAGTGGAATCAAATTTATTAAGAAAAAAAAAAATCTTAAAAGCACATTTTAAAAAAATGTCTTGGTGTTTTATTTTCCATTCAATGAAAATCAGTGCAGTAATAATTGAGTAAAAATGTAATTATTAATAATAAAAATGAAAAATAATAATAACAACAATGAGAAATGAGCCAAACGCATGTTTTCAGATCTACAAACAGGTCTATAAAGTGTATAAAAATACCAAAACACCTTTTTTAACCCAAAGGCTGAATGAAGGGTCAATGCAGACCACAACCAGTCCAAGGTGCTAATGCACAGACTGCGCAGAGGTCTTTCTCTGGTGGGATTTGTGTCAGTTCATAATATCACACCCTAGGCAAGAGCACATGCATTTATGATTCATGCTCTGCTAAACAACTGTGCAGATGATATGATTATTTTAAACACACCTGCCAGCAAGGTGAGAGCAGATTATTACACTGTAGAATCACTTAGTTTAATGATTGCAGCTTAAACTGAGAGCACAATAGAAGAATCATGCTCACAAATGCTCAAAAAACTTACAAACTGTGATGGAATTTAAATGTGTAAAGTCTTTTTTTTGTTTGTTTTACTAGTAGAACAGTTGTCTTAGATGCAGCATTACTCAAAAGCAGAACATTTTCAGGTAGAAATGCCATTAGAGAAATATCCTGTTTGCTGTATGCGTCACTCATGATTCATTTATAAAACTGGAAGTGTGTTTCCAGAGGAAAAAGTGCATCAGCTCGTCATGTGATCTCAACATGGCCACTATCATGAGGGGCGACTCTCCTTTTATAGAAAACCCCTTTTTTTTTTTTTT